TGGTAGAAAGAGGCAAGAGCCATTACACAAATGTGCATGCATGTTGAACCAGGCACCAGACAGCTGCAGTGTTTCAGGACACAACATCTGAGGATTGTACTGCCAATGGCAGTGCTACAAACTTCAAAGGGCACAAAAACCTTTAGCTCTGTCTCTGCATTGACTATGCCACTGCAAATCCATATAAGTGCTTGAGGGACATCATAAATATCACTGCTGTTTCATGCTGTGTGCCTGCATATGTTGAGTAATGTGCTGGACCCATTGAACAAAACAGTGGCTCTGCCACAATCTTCACTGAAAGAGTGAAACATGAAGATAGGTTTCCATCCTATCTGCCTCTGTGGCTCCTTCTTTTGATGGGAGGCCTCTTATGTCGCCTGCCTCCCTGCAGAGCAAAGTGTTTGGTAACACTCTGTTTTGTCATAATTTAGACTATAACTTGCATGACCACTTCCATTTTCAGACTGGCTGACAATGATGGATAAAGTGAATTGTTCAATATGCAGAAAGACATGTTGTCAGTCTTGGGAATATTGGGAGATCTGTCTTTAAGTCTTTTGCTTCTCAGTAATGAATTGCCGCCTCCTTCCCCAAAAGGGAATTATTCTCAGTAAATAATCATTATTACATAAAGATCCCCTAAACAGGATTTAAAATGATTCTTTATACCTTGTAAGAAAACATTTGGATCTTATGGGAGAGGAAAAGGGTACAAAATTACCTGCTGTAGCTTAACTTTTTAATGCAATCCTTGAATTTTTTTTCTTAGAGGAACAAAGAACAAATGAATAAACCCTTGTGAGATGAGATCAGCCTTAAGGGGAAAAAACAGCACTACAGGATAAGGCACAGTCAATGCTAGAGGGTATTATGTTATGTGATAAAAGCTTGTCCGCCCACCCAGAAAGGAGGTCAGAGAGACAATGGCAGGAGGGCAATCACCAACCCTGTGAAATTTAACAAGAGCAAGTGCTGGATTCTGCACCTGGGATGGGGCAATCCTGGTTATACGTACAAATTGGGAGATAAGAGGCTGGAGAGAAGCCCTGCGGAAAGAGATCTGGGGGTTTGGGTTTATGGCAAGTTGAATATGAGTCAACAGTGTGCCCTGGCAGCCAAAAGGGCCAACCATGTCCTGGGGTGCATCAAGCACAGCGTAGCTAGCTGGTGGAGGGAGATGATTGTCCCACTCTACGCTGCACTGGTGCGGCCCCACCTCGAGTACTGTGTGCAGTTTTGGGTGCCTCAATATAAGAAGGCCATCAAACTATTAGAGTGTGTCCAGAGGAGGGCGACCAAGATGGTGAAAGGCCTCGAGGGGAAGACTTATGAGGAGCGGCTGAGGTCACTTGGTTTGTTCAGCTTAGAG